AATCAACAAAAACCAGCGCAGTATGACACCTTCAGAGCACAGCTACAACAGCAAGCCCTGGATATCCTAACACAACTGGAGCATAAGAAAATGAGCTTAAATCCAACCTTATAAAGATGACAGACGCCTTTAAAGAGGTAATGAGTAAATCTCTTAAAGAACTACAGGAAAATACAAGCAAACCAGTGAAGGAAATAAATAAAACTGCTCAAGATTTGAAAGTAGAAACAGAAGCTATAAACACAAACTGAGGGAATCCTGAAGATGGAAAACCTAGGGAAGAGAACAGGAACACCAGAATACAGAACATGGAAGAGAGAATTTCAGGTGTAGAAAATACAATAAAATAAGTTGATACATCAGTCAAAGAAAATATTAAATCTAAAAAATTCCTGACATAAAACATCGAGGACATTTGGGGTGCCATTAAAAAGCCTAACCTAAAGATAACAGGAATGGAAGAAGGTGAAGTATCCCAACTCCAAAGACCAGAAAATATTTTCAAAAAAAATCAAAGAAAAAACCTTTCCTAACCTAAAGAAAGAGATGCCTATAAACATACAAGATATAGAGAACCAATTAGACTGGACTTGAAAAATAATCCTCCTGGGACATAATAATCAAAACATAAAATCTACAGAACAACAAAAAAATATTAAAAGTCCAGGTAACATACAAAGGCAGACCTATCAGAATTACATCAGGCTTAAGAGAGACTCTAAAAGCTAGAAGGGCCTGGACAGATATCCTGCAACCTCTCAAAACCATAGATGGACAAACTCAAATTTAAACAATATCTATTCACAAATCCAGCCCTACATAAAACACTACAGGGAAAACTCCAACCCAAGAAAGATAACTACATTCAAGAAAGCACAGGAAATAAGTAAATCCATACCAGCAAAAACAAGGGAAACACACACACACACACACACACACACACACACACACACACGTGTATGTGCAGCTCGATCTTTATCAGTGATCAGAATGTAAAGTGAATTTTTAAAAAGGTTAAAAAATAGAACTTCTGAGTCTTATTTAAATCCTATAGAAACTTTTTGATGCTATTTTTTTTTTTTAGAAGTTGTCCTGCTTAGTTCTAAGCTGCAAGTTTCATCCACTTTCCATCATTTTGGATCTAATGTTGGTTCAATGTCCAAACCTTTTCAGTGCCATTCAAATCTGTCCTGTATGTATTCCACTTAATAATCACACTATAAGCTGAGCACGAAGGCATGTATGTTGATTCTGCTCACAGTATTTTTGGTGCAGTAATTTGAATCAGATCAGTGTATATGCAGCTCAAACGTAAGCCCAGAATTCATAAACAACTACTAGGATTGCTCTGAAAACCTTTTCCCTCTTTGCAAGCATTCTCTCTGATTATCCCACTTTCAGTGTGTACTTTTAGATCAGAAGCCAAATGGTCGGAACACAGGTCAATAGCAACACAGATTCATGCCTCTGAGTGACCATGGAGAAAAGGTTCTTTCTTAGTGGACTCTGCCCTCTGTACTGCTGGGATTGCTCAGTGGCTAGCACAGAAGAAAGTGTAGAGGATAAAAAGTAATCTCACCACATGGAGACCACAAGTCACTTTTAATTTTCCTTGTACAGCAATAAAGAGCAACCCTGGAGCTCATTTCCCTTGTCTGGTGCCCACCATTCCACTTCTGGCTCTATTGAACTGATTTGCTACCAGTTTACAAGAGCTTCAAATTCTGATATTCTTTAATGCTCCTACTGTTTACTCATAGAGTCTTCAAGCAGATTCTCCCCCTGTGGTGCCCAGGTCTTATCACAAAGCTCTGTTAAAGGGGAAGTGTAACACCTGGATCTTTCCTAGAACCAGAATTATCCTATCCAAGTTTTCAGAGGCAAGTTAATAAATGCCTCTTGTGAGCCAGGGGCATGCTATGTTTTGCTTATGTAACTAGCCCTTATAATCCCCATAATTTATACATTGTTAGAGCTATATATTATAATCTACATTTTATAAGGACACAGATGGTTAGAAAAGATTAAGCACTTTACCAGTGGTTACCTGACTAGAAGCAAGACCCATAAAGCCCTTAGGAATCATGTTGTAATGTTCCCAAACCACCTGCACCTGAATCATGTACAACATTTATTAAAGTTGAAATTTCCTGTGCCCTATCTCAAACACACCAAAGTCAAATCTTTGAGAAGGTGACTATCAGAAATTCTAAATATATTGAAGTTGAAAATGAACACATTCTGTACCCAGTGAAGGAAACCATCAGTCCAAATGACTTTAAAGGGGATGTCAATATACTTCAAATAGAAATAGCCATAAATGTTGGCATCAATCAGTTTAAAATAGCTTACATATGCTCACTTTCCCTGTTCTTCTGCATCATGTTAAGGGACATAAAATAGAAATTGTCATAAACCAAGGTTCACTTTATATATAGCAGTACTTTTCCGACCCCAATCCTTGAATTTGTGCTCTGACTCTGGTCCCTGAACACAAGCACTTCTTTATAGGGTCCTTTCTGTTAATCAACCAGTATATCAAATTCTATCTTGGAAAGAGAGGACTTAAATCCCATGCAGCTGTTCCTGCCCTTCCTAGGAGGCAGAGTTGTTCTGGACTCCTCTAAAGAATCTGATGTGGGCTCACCTCTGTGAGGCCAGTTTGCATGAGTCCATGCCTAAGAGGCAAGTGTGAATGAAATATATATAATAAGAAATTTATTCCTTATGTATCGCTGGTAAGAGAATTTTGTATCCAAATAGACATACAAAAGATTTTCTTTTAACTTGGATGATGTAACAACAAAGATTGAAAAAGTCAATCAAAGTGCAGTGATCACTCGACAAACCCACAAATAAACTAAACACCAAGGAAACCCTCCACACAGAACACTTCCTCTGAGGTCTCGGAGTTTTCATGGCACACTTTTGAGAACTCATAGCAGAGATTATCATTCCTAACTCACATATGGGAAAAGTAAAGTCAAGTATGCCATTATTTCAGGGCCTATGACAGGCTCCCTTGTGAAGCAATTTGCAAGCATATTATAGTGGAAAGTCATATTTTAGAACTAAAATGTGCAGCAAACACTCTGCTTTAAACTAAAAGTATTTTCCAAAAAGTGTTCTTATAGATACTTATGAAGAACTTTAAACATTTCAAAGTGATCAGCAGTAATGAAAAAACTGAATGTGTCAACGTGTGTGTGTGTGTGTGTGTGTGTGAGAGAGAGAGAGAGAGAGAGAGAGAGAGAGAGAGAGAGAGAGAGAGACTGTAAACATATGACTCAGGAGGCAAACCTGTACTTGTTTAGAGTAAAGAGCCAAAGTTTCCATCTCTGAAGTTGAGCACAGGAATGACTTGACCGTCAACAGTTTCCGTATGTTTCATATTTTTAAAGCTGACCATTCATAATAAAGATTCTTTGATCCAAGATCAAATGTTTGAATCACTTCTCTCTACACTCCCCAAGTCACTGTTATAAGGGCTTTGCCCTCCCTCCCTCCTCAGCCTCATCAGCCCTTCCAGGAGGCAGAAGCACCCCCTCTTGGTGGTCAGTCACCTGCTCTACAGTCTTTCCCACCTCTTAGCTGTGGGTTTTAGCTCTGTTCGTTAAAGGTTCACATAAAAGAGACACTATAATAAATAATTCTTGTACATAATAGGTTAACTACTGTAATGAAAACAATTCCCCTGAGATATTCAGGAATCTTTAATAAGACAAAAAGCTTATGGTCACACAGTTGGTAAAAATCTAATCTTCTCTCAGTTAGGAAAAAAGTTTTCAATAGATGAAATCCTTGTCTATATGCAAAAAGTAAAATAAAAGTAAAACAAACATATTTTAACTAGCTTATATTTCTTGGACTTAAACTAGTGAAAGTGAAGTGACACTTTGAAAATGTCAAAATTCAGTATTTTATTTTTAAAAGGGTCCTAAAACAGATGTAAAGAGATAAAAAGTAAAAATATTAGAAAACTGTCTAGGCAATGCTCACAGTTTAGCATATTTCTATTGTATATTGGTCCAAGTATTTTAAGGCTTTCTTGGGCCTTACTAATAAAAGGGATTTTTAATATAACACTAATTTATAAAATATTTAAGCATGAATTCTACAGAAAGCTATGCATTAAACAAAGATAACCAAAAAAATCTTAAAATTTCTAGCAGAACATAAAATTAATTTGCAAATACTTCAATTATATTTGGGCCCCATTAAATATAATATAGAGGAAAGAGAGGAATAGAAATAGGGAAGGAGAAGGGAAAGAAACAGGACTAAAAATCCCCACAAATTTGAGAAAGTGTTTATATATGAATGCATGTATGTGTGTGTATGTATATATGTATGTATGTATGTAAATGTATATACATATGTAACATTAATAAATCAAAGCAAAAGATGCCGTCAATTTTAGAGAGACTGAGAAAGAGACATGAAAAGGGTTAGAAGAAGGAAAGAGAAGGGGACAATCATATGATTATATATTAATTAAAATTTTAAAGATTTAATTGAGAAAATTGTAAGTTATAATTTCCCATTTCAACTAGGTGCTACACAAACAAGAACAAAAACAAATAAGTAAACCTCAAAGTTCTCCAGAACCCACAAAGTGAAAAGATACCTTCACATGCATACCTTAGGTTATATACTTACATAAGCATACAAAATGCAAGAAAGAATAGAAAGTAGGAAGGAACAGAGGGAGGGAGGGCGGGAGGGAGGGAGGGAGGGAGGGAAGAAGGAAACATAGAAAGAACAAAGAAGGAAGAAGGGAAGTAATAAACAACAAAAGAAAAGAAGGGAGGAAGAAAGAAAGGGGAGTGTTTATCAGACCTATGTTTCACCATTTGTTGAGTATCAAGCGGTATGATTTCAGGTGCTAACATAGGCACTCAACTAGTAATGACTGAGCAGGAAAAGTTTATCTTTCCCTCAGTTTGAACAAAATGAACAGCAGAACCTGCCATCTACCCATTCTGGTGATTATGGATTACCTTGCATATAACAGCAAACTGTTGGTTATTTCCTGCTCCAATTACAAGATAGCCATCCTTGGTTTTAAAGGCCTTAAAAAGAAACAACAAATACTTATGTTAGTGTATGTCTGTACATGAGCAAGACCAGAAAAAAGGTTCAATTTCTAATAATTCTATATTGAATGTCTAAAATATTTAAATGATGCTATTCATCAATTCAATAGGAACCCATTGCAGATCTTTTCTCTTATAACTTCATTTTTTTTTCATTTAAGACTTTCAGCTGCTTCCTACCTCTTCCAATAATTTCTAAAGCATTGCAAAAGTGTGACAAAAAATTTAAGAAAATGCTAGTCTTATATTTTATAACACAAAATTCTACATTCCTTATACTGTAGAATGATTTTTGACATTTCAAGGTTTCAACTTTTCTTAGTTTCCATTTTTCCTTGTAGAACTTTTTATAACAAATAGTATAAGTATTTACAAAGATTAAGAAAAGATGACCCTGACACTATTACCAATGTCATATTATGCTTCCAGACAGGAGACATGGTGACTCTCCTGCACATGTGACCTTAGTGCGATTGGAGAACTGAGCTCTGTCCTCCAACTGTCCAATCAGCTCTTTCTCAACAATCTCCTTGTGTTATCTTTCTTCCTAGGTAAGCTTTGCTCTGCAAACTCACCTGCTTTTCCTTCACTGGGCGCTCTTGAGAGAGACTGTATCTCTCTAATCTGGCAACTTTTTCCTCCTCTCTGATGACCTTTGTGCTACGTTGGAGTACTTCCTTTGCAGTCATCTTTAGTCTCTTCTTCTCTTTCACTAATCTGTCTCTTCTGCCTCCACTGAAAATATCATCAACACCATACTACACAACACAACAGGAATTTTGCTTCCTTCCCTCCATTTCTAACAGGCATAAAAATATACCCTACCTATTCTTGTTCACAGTACATTGCCAATCCTTTGCCATTGTGTTACTCTATCACTACATCCAACTGATACTGTCAATTACTCACATCCCTGCCTTACCACCCATTTTGTTCTTCTTCATCTCCTATTCCTCTGTCTTGCTCACTGTCCATGAGCCCTCCTTGCAGTATTTTCATTACCCAATAACATCCATCTTTGGTCTTTTTACTTCAGTTGACTGTATGGTAGTCACAAGGCACATATGGCTATTAACTCTATGTTAACCAATAAGAGGAAGATGATATTTTATAATTTATTTCAAAAGAAATGACCCAAAATAGATAAATCCAAGGAGATTGAAATATAGTGGTTCCCTAGTACTGGAGAAGTTGGTAAGAAATGAGGAAGAGCTACTGATTTTGGATGAAACAATGGTGATGAAAATGCTCAAAATTTGATGGTAATGACAACTTTACAGCTGTGAACATTCTAAACCTCATTTAATTATATCCTTATGAGAGTGAATAATGTAAATTTTATATCAATAAAGCTGTTACCTTAAATTTTAAATTCACAATTAAGAGCCAAAAACCCACTCCATTAGACAGCACATACACAGGGCAAGAAAAGATCTGTTGCATGGTACTGGCAGACTATAGCTGGGAAATTTCAGGTTTTTCTTTCTTACTCTTCCTATTATGTCCAAGATCATAGCTGAAGAATGTCAGGGTTTATGATAAAGTGTTGACAAAGGGTAAATTGATTGATTAGTTCCAGATAACAAAAGTAAAGCTATAATTTATCTTGCATTTAAAAACTACAGTAAGGTTTTATTCTGTTCATGTTGCTGCTAGACAAGAATAAAAGTGCTATTAAAAAAATTATGCATGTTGTCCTCTGAGATGCCCCACCCACCACCTGACTCAGATAGGTACAGATACTCACTTGGAAGACCAAGTGAGGGTGATTCGGTCCTTCTTAGAAGGAGCAACAAAATACTCAAGGGAGCAAATATGGAGACAAAGTGAGGGACAGAAACTGAAGGAGGGGCCGTCTCAAGACCACTCCACCTGAGTATCTATCCCATGTGCAATCACCAAAGGTAGATGCTGATGTGGAAGACAGGAAGTGCATGCTGATAAGAGCCTGATATGGATATCTCCTCAGAGGCCTTCAAGAGTCAGACATATTCAGAGGCAGATGCTCACAACTAGCCATTGAACTGATCATGGGGTTCTCAATAGAGGAGTTAGAGTGAAGACTGAAGGAGCTGAAAGGATTTGCGGCACCATGAGGAGAGCAACAATACCAACCAACCACAGCTCCCAGGGTCTAAACCACCAGCCTGGGAGCACTTAGGGGGGGGATCCAGGGCTTCAGCTGAATATGTAAAAGTGGAGGGCCCTGCTGGGCATAGGTGGAAGAAGAGAACCTTGACCTCATGAAGGCTGGATGCCCCAGGGGGTGGGAATTTTGAGGGTGGGGAGGTGGGAGCGGTGTGTGGGGTAGATAGAGGTTACATCCACAGAGAAGAAGGAGGAGGGGCGAGGGGATTGGGGGTTCCGAGGGGGTGGTGGGGGATGGGGTAAGGGGACAACATAGGAAATGTAAATAAATCATCCAATAAAAAAAAAAAAGAAAGAATAACTATTGGTGTTTCTCAAATGGCAAGAAGGGAGTCTGAACTGACCTGTGCGTCAGCTGCAAAGGATTTTGAGATCAGGTTTTTTTAGTGAACCATGGCTAACTATGAGTGTATACCAATTCTCTGCTATTTTATGTATTTCTTTTTAGCTGAAGTGGCAAACAGGAACTGTCAAGTACAATACAAAGAATCATTTTCAAAATTTGGATCAATGATCTGTTCAAATAAGTTTGGGTGGGGTGTCATTTCATTTTAATAAACTTCCTTTTTAATGAATGAAGAACTGGTTTTTATTTTCTTCAACTTCCATTAGGTAATGAAGCATTATCAATATAAAGGAAATCTTAAGAAACTGTAGGAACTTTGTGTTCACTTAGAAAGTGGGTTTTTAGCAGCCTTTAAGCCAACAGAACATGATCAGAACACAAACCACAAGACTGATATAAAATATTAGTTATCATAATAACTATCCTCTATTAATACTTTAAAGTGTTCACGAAATAAGTATATCTTAAACATTTCTAAAAATGAATTAGCACCACATAAAAATTGGGCAGGGAAAGAATATGACAGGAATAAATGAATTACTTGCAATACTATACCCCCAAAGAAATATGCTCACAGAATGCTTTCTTCTCTCAAATACACCTTTATATAATTAATATTTTATTATATTGCTAGTCTTCTTTTTAATGTTAATACCGCTCCCAAGAATAATAAAATGTCATCACTTTAATAACCAAAATATATGCTCAAAGTTTAATTAAACATTCTCAGTTTGTTCAAACTGTAGGGCATTTTTAATTTATTCTATTAGAGTTAAAGTAAGCATTAACATAACTGATATAAATTTTTAAATTTAATTTACAATGAAACTATAACAAAATGCCTAATATAATTAAAATTCTTTAAAATCTGTAGCTACTTGTATTATGAATGCTAATTATGTTCCACCAAATAATTGCTTGCATAAGAGTGCCTATACATTGCTTCTAAAAATCTACTCCAGTTGGTTCTGATTGGTAAATAAAGATGCCAACAGTCAATAGCTGAGGAGGACAGACAGAGGTGGGATTTTTTTTTCCAGGATCGAGACCAGGAGGAGAAAGAGAAGGAAGAGATCCACATTCCTGGAAGAGTGTGGAAGAGAGGAGAGACACCATGCCAAAGAAGAGTGCAAGATATAGAGACACAGCCACTGTGTGAAGGAGCTGGGAGAACACGACCCAGAGAGCAGCCAAGATAGAACATAAGAATTAGTAAGTAGAAATTATTCATGGGAGATAGATTTTAACAACAGTGGAAGTTAGGCAGTGTCCTAGCTTTTATGATGTTTAAGACACTTTAAAATATAAAGGTTGTGTGTGTGTGTCTTTCATCTGGGAACATAAACCATTGGGGTGAGTAGCAAACCCACTACAGGGATTTGTTAATAATTACTTCTACAAAAATCTATTCTTATCTTCACAAACCAATATATTAAATTAGATAATTAAATCCTAGGTCTATGCTACTTAACCTGTGCAGTATCAGGCATGTTACATCATTTCGAAGGCTTGGCTTTTACTTCTGTAAAATAGAAATGATTAGCACTTACCTTTAAAATTGTTATAACAATTAAGTTTGTTAAGTTACATTTATTCACCCATCTAACAAATGCTTGCTGATATAATACACTATATGTTTCACAGACACTGGGTATGATAGGTAAAAAACATAACAAATGATCCATCATCACATAAGACTTACATTCGAATAAAGTAGCACACATCAACCAATCATTGATAAAAATAATGGCAGACAGAGACATACTCTAGAATGGAAGCATACAGATCAAAATGGGATCATATAATACATAGTTCTAATGTTGTTGCAAGAGAAGGCAGAAAACGTCCCTGAGAAAAGTGTGCTGTAAACTGACGACTAAGAATTCATACATATGCATTGAATAGAGTTGGGAGCAGTAGGTTGGTAATGAAAGACAGAATGACATGTGCACATGGCTCTATGGTGGGAAGAAGCAGTGAACCACAAGAAGAGAGAGAGAGTAGCATCAAAGAGGCTGCGGAAAAGGAAAGAGAGGAAGTGGAAGGCCATGGGAAATACATTATGTACCATCGAGCTATTGGAAAGTCACTAAAAACACTTGAGTGATCATGCCTGCATTTCAGAAAGGCCTCTCTTTCTGCAGTATAAGCACTGGCCAGAGGATAAGATTCGAACTGAGGAAGCTGAGTAAGAGGCTGTTGTGATGATCATGAAAGAGAATGTATAGTCTTAGACTAAGGGACATGTGAGTAGAGACAGAAGGAAATGGGGCTAATAAAAAAAAGAGGGGGAATCTAATGGGATGGATAGTAGACTGGGTATGGCAGTTGTAACCCGCAGACTAACCAAAAGGAAGATGCCACAGGTGACACTGATATTTATGAGAACCTTGTGAGATTTCCTAGAGCAAATTTCACAAGTACGAACCAGATTATAATCTGAACTATAGATAAAATCTTGGCAATCATTTGCTTATAATGT